GGTTCTATCCCTGGCTCTGTGAGGGCAGGGGAGGCTGGTGGGTTATAGCAGTGGGGGCTGGGAGCCAGGACTGCCCTGGAATGGGATCCCAACCATGTCTCCCCCTCTCTGTCCTATTTCAAAGGAGGGACCCAACCCTGATCTGAACACCAACCAGGTCAGCATCATTGAGCAGTGCCCAAAGCGTCAACTGAGGTGGCCATCAAGGGAGGGGTAGCTGGGTCCTGTCAGCCCAACTCCTGGGGCAGAGAGGGTCATGGGCTGCAGCCTTGCTGCGTTCTCTGGGCCAGGCCAGACCATGCCGAGGGGCATTCGGAGCCTTGAATGAGAGAGCGAGGCTGAGCTTGTGGCTACGGGGCTGGGCTGGGCTACAGGATTCTTGTTTTCTATTCCTAGCTCTGCCACTTGCTCCCTCTGTGACTTTGGGCAAATCACTTAGGTCAGTGGTTCTCAACCAGGGGTACATGTACCCCTTGGGTATGCAGAGGTCTTCCAGGGGGTACACCATCTCATCTAGAGAGTGGCTTAGTTTTACAACAGGCTACATAAAAAGCACTCGCAAAGTCAGTACACCAGCCGGAGTGGACCCAGTTGTGCTGTCCGGCTGCAGGAGTACCGCACGGCCAGATCAGTCCCAGACACAGCACCCGGCCGGAGCAGCGCTGCCCGGCCGGAACAGCACCATCCAGCCAGAGAAGCCCCAGCCCGATGGACCCCAGATGCTTAAACAGTTAACCATTTAAATGACATTTTAATCATTTAAACGGTAACTTTTAAAACGGTATTTACATCCCTAGCAGAAATTTCCATCTAGAAGTTCCAACAATCTCTATGGAAAGTCTCTTTCCACTCCTGGATAGCTCTGTCCTTGGAGTAGTTCACCAGAGACACATACAGTGATTTGATTCATTTGCGCGGTCTGTGGGCATGGCTAACAGGAGAGAACAGTTGATGAAAGAACACTAACAGCTCTACGCACCTCTGTACCAGAGCTTGATTTTTCCCCACACCTCAATGATTACCTCAGTGATGTCACTTCATATGTGATACTCATGGAGGAATTCTGCGCCACTCCACAAACACAAACTTCATGTGCTCCACATATTATTTTTCACCCCAGCCCAGAATAATTGATTTTGAAGAAGCACTGCAATTACACCTATTTCCCTCTAGGGGGTGCTGTGGCACCAGAAGAGAGGACACTGGCTTATATCTGGAGCAGCCAGCCAGAGAAAGAGGGAATCAGAGGATACTTCACAGTTCTCTGCCCATGGGGTCAGCTGTGGAGGGAAGGAATATGGGGGAGATGGACAAAATGGGGCTCTGGGTGTGTGTGTGTGTCAGGAGCTAGTGAGGTAACATTGAGCCAGGAACGGAATGCAAGTGGGGATGTGGGGACACATGGGTGTGAAAGGGGGGCAGGGAAACACAGGGATGGAGGGGATGCAGGGATACACGGGGATAGAGAACAGATGTGCCTGACTCAATCGGAGAGGCCAAGGGTGAGCCAGGGTTCAATAGGGGAGGCTCCCCAAATCGCTAACAATCACTCTTCCCCTCTCCCTCGAAAACCGCCTCTTCCATACTTCTCCCACTCACACCCAACAACTCTCAAAGTTCACTTCA